GGTGCCCTTGAGGGACAGATGTTCCGGAAAACTGGCAAACTTATCTCACTGAGTGAGCAGAACCTTGTGGACTGCTCTCAGGCTCAAGGCAATAAGGGCTGCAATGGTGGCCGAATGGATAATGCTTTCCAGTATGTGAAGTCCAACGGGGGCCTGGACTCAGAGGAGTCCTATCCATATCAAGCAACGGTAAGCAAAGCTCTTATCTTTATGTCATTCCTTTTAGACTGTCTATATGTAAACCGTCAGAACTTTCATTAAAATATGTCAGCCTTGAACAGTTCTGTTTGGGATGTTCACAGTTCTTATTTCTGTGTTACATGGAGACATACATACCATTCTAAATACAGCACTTTTTTCTTCATAGTGAAACACTTCTTATGGAGAGATAGACCCACAGCGTCTCAATGAATAGACACCAGCTAGTTTTTCATTTTCAAAACAGCCAATAGCATTTCACAGACGTAACCTGGAAATCATGAAGCTGCCTCCTGCCTGAAACTCATGCTTCCAGGGAGGTGGGTTAGTAATGAGATCTCTTCCCCTTTACCTTTAAAGGTTGGACCCTGCAGATACAGGCCCGAGGACTCTGTTGCCAATGACACCGGCTTCGTGGACGTTCCTGGGCAGGAGAGTGCCCTCATGAAGGCAGTGGCAACCGAGGGGCCCACCTCGGTGGCTATAGATGCAAGCCATCTTAGATTCCAGTTCTATGAAGATGGTAAGCATGGTCTATGTAGAAATTTAGGCAGAAGAACTGGAAAACCACTGTGACCTAAAGCAAGATTCACTCTTTGGCTTGCATACTTTCTGGGTGTGTGGATTTATCATTGTTCATTGTGCACGCACAATATCTTTCCCAGGTGTTTCCATTTGACATTACTTGAGCTGTATCCTCATGTTTTTAAGCACTTTGTAAATATATTTAAATGGCTACATAATTTGATTGGTATAGCTCAGTGATGGCGAATCTTTTGAGCTCTGCGTGTCAGCATTTTGAAAAACCCTAACTTAACTCTGGACCGGTCAGAATCCTCTGGGATTTTAGGTGTACAGGATGCTGCTCCAACCAACCGAGCCACACTGGCCAGGGCTCCTCGGATTTTACATACTGATGCTGCCAGAGGCAAACCTCTTGCCTCCGGGTCCTGGCTGCCTGATACTATATCCCTGGGGTGTAAAGTGCTCTTGAAGTAGAAAAGAATGGAGTTGGCATTAGGAGGGAGTTGACCACAAGAAAACGAGGTCCCAGTCTCCTAAGGCAACCACAGTTTCGATTTGTGTTATCTTTCCTAAGCATGCCTATATGTAGGTTTTATTTTAATTTCATTAATTCTTTTTTTATTATAAAAGTAAATCATGTTTTTTTAAAAAGTAAATCATGTTTATTGTGAATAATTTGGGCAATCATTGTTACCTTTTTATTATTTATTTACTTACAGAGAGAGCGGGAGAGATGGAGAGAAACATTGATGTGAGAGACACACATCAAGTGACCCAGGATTGGGATTGAGCCTGCAACCGAGGTTTGTGACCTTGACTGGAATTGAGCCCAGGACCCTTTACTGCAAGGGCTGGCACTCTATCCATTGAACCAAACCATCCAGGGCCATTGTTACTGGTTTAGTCTTCCTCCTTCAATATTTTTTCTTTGCCCATTTTTTTAAAGCAATCATGAGATTTTACTAAATACAGGCTTTGGTCACGTAGAGCTTCTGTGTCTCAGCTGCTATGCAGGTCAGAACCCGAGTTTCTAGTTGGTTCAGATTTAAAGAAGGGCAGGAAGTTATCTTTTCCAGCAGGTTTCCTCTTGCTCCTGCAGGGCACCGTCCCCTCACGTTTGTATAGAAACGGAAAGCTTCCGTTGTCTCCCCATTGCTGAGTCTAAATGATTCCACTTGTGTGTGTGTTGTTGTTGTTTTGGTTCACCCAAGGGAAAATGGCAGGAGTCTCTTTCCTTTAAAGCAGTGGTTCTCAACCTTGGCTGCACATCAGAATCACCTGGGAATCTTTTTAAAATCCTGATTTCTGGGCCTCATCCTCTGGAAATTCTGTTTCTTTGTTATGGGGTGGGGCCACAACATTAGTAACAAAGAAACAGAATTTCCTGAGGATGAGGCCCAGAAATCAGGATTTTAAAAAGATTCCCAGGTGATTCTAATGTGCGGCCAAGGTTGAGAACCACTGCTTTGAAGTGAGGACAAATGTGAAAATCAGCTGGGCTCTTTTTCTTCCCCGCACCATTCCTAATTGTAGTCATAATTAAGCTGGGTTGTTTTCCAGACCTGGGAGTTTAGGTTTCATGACTTTCTGGATTATAGATTCGTCTGTCCCACCACATGCGGCATAGGTAAGTAAAAACAAAGCAAAGGAAAAGAATTCCTTTTGAATTAAAGACCAACTAAAGACAAACTAATGCAACAAGCAATAGTTTATTTAAAAAAAAAAAGGGAAAAAAAACCAACAAAAAGAAAAACAAATGACCTTCTTTACTATCTCATAGATTAAGTAAAAATACTTGTATTAATATATATGTATATACATACTGCATATATATATATATATATATATACACACACACATATGATATAACATTAAAATTACATGCTTCTCAGGACAGAAGAATTAGGACATGTTCCCCCGTATGGATTTAAAACTCTATCACAATTGAAAGTCACTGCAAGAAAACTTGCTTCCTTTATTTTCTTTTGTAGATTTCAAGTACAGGAAGTTATCAAACCAGGATCTCAATGTGGAAAACCGTCTGCTATGCACAAATGACAACGGACTGCCACAAACCGTGAGTCGGGGGTTTTGAGTTCTCACACAGATCTTCGTAGCCCTACAACTGTCAGCCTTCTACCTGAGATGAGAGGGAATGATAAAGCGCCACAGTTTGTCGATTCCACGTGGACGTTCACATTGACGTTTAAACAAAAGCTAACGAATACATGTCATCGTAGCAACAACACTGGCCATGAAATCACTCTAGAGGAGGATTCCTTTTTCCCCTTTCCTTGCCAAATAAAACACAAAAATTGCCGGGGAAAAAACCCAACGCAAATCGGAGGGTGAAGCACCTCTGGCGATGATCAGCATACAGCAAGGAGCAGAGGGGAGCGTTTCCTTCGGGACAGCTCCTGGCTGACGTGATGATTTCAAACACACCCTCGTCTGCAAAAGGCACTCACATATTGTCTATTTATAAATCATACAGTGGGAGTCCATACATGAGGGGTTTTCCTATAAATATAAAAAAGATAAGCTGAGGACATGATAATATAACAAAGAAGAGTATGAAATGCACATTTTGGATAAATGTGCGTTTTTTATTTAAAGGACAATCAATATAATCGTTAAAAATGTTTTCATTGAAAAGTTAGGGATTCCAGTAAAATTATCAGTCAGAAGCAAGGTACTAGAGGCTGAGAGATGGAGTCCAGAACAGGGAGAGGAGGGACACTAGCTTCTCAAATGGCCAAACGAACGGGTATGATTAGCTCTTGAACAGACCGTTCACTCACAATGGAATGTGTGAGAGGGAGGAAGGGGGGGAGGGAAGGAGGGAGGAAGTAGCAGAGAAAGAGGTGCAGCGGGAGGGAGAGGGGCGCCCTTCAGGAGGGAGGGGGGCATAGGAAGGGGTGCATCTGGAATCTCAGGTGTGAAAGATGGCTGAATCCCCCTTGCTTTTGCAGTTTGAAGACACCCTGCCCAAGCCAAAGCTGCCCTCACCTGGACACGACCGAGCTAATGGAATTATAAGACGTGCCACTGTTGCAGCTCGAGGCGTAGGCCTCCTGGCCGTTGCCATCGAGGTGGATTTTGAACACAGAGGACGCCTTCAGTAGAAAGTCTGCCGCGTCTCGGCGCCCCAGCTCCCGAAGTTTGGACATAAGGATGCCGACCGTGCTCTCGGGGTAGGAGGTCCATTCCCGGAGCAGGGCGTGGACTGGGCTCGGGAGGAACTCCTTGGGAGCCCCGTTGTTGGTGTTATACTTGGCCACGAGGTCAGGGAGGCCCAAGTTCATGGCGAGAAGGCACCAGTCCTTCCCCATTGGATCGGGCGGGTCCAGCAGGCGACTAAGTTTCCTCCGCGTCAGGAGGTTCAGATCTGACGCGTGGATGTCCATCCCCAGGCTGGCCTGTGAGTAGATGTCGTGACAGCCGAAGCACATGATGCTGCTGAAGCTTTCCTTGTACCCACCCATGGTGTTGGTCAGCGAGGTCTCCCTCAGGGTCTGCGCCCGGAAGAAGTCCCGGGGCTGGTAGATCATGACGGGCTCGTGGTGCTCCCTCAGCTGCTGGGGGCTCAGGTAATGCTTCACCGTCAGCAGCCCTGGCAGCGTGGTGGCCATGACGTTCTCGATGGTGCTGCACACCGAGTCCAGCAGGAGGCAGCACTTGATCTTTTCTGTCTCCAGCCCGCGCACCTGGACCTCGATGCCCTGGCCGTGGTTGACCAGGAGCACCAGGAGCTCGGCCCCGCGGTTGGCGATCTTGCAGCCGCTCACCCACAGGCGAATGTCTGCGTCTCCCTCGGCGCTCTGTTGGTGGATCCACCGGCACAGGTTCACCTGGACCTTGTGAAAGATGCCGCACGGGAAGGGGGCGAGGTGCTCCACGGGGACGATGCGCACACCGCCGTAGACCATCACCTCGTCCTCCTCGTCAGTCCAGGAGCGGTGCAGGTTGTCCGTCTTGATCAGGGCGGGGATGTCCACCATGGTCCCACTGCTCAGGTCCCGGGCACAGATGTCCATGGCATCGAGGATCTGCAGCAGCTCCTCCACGTCACTGTCGGGCACCAGGCGCTGGATGTCCTCCATGGTGTAGCGGCCCCGGTAATGGTGCAGGGCCCGCGGGGTCTCCACGGAGAGCAGCTTCCCCAGGACGTTGGTGCAGAGCCAGCGGGGGTCCAGGAGCAGCACGTCCTGGACCGTTTCACTCTGCATGATGTTGATCTGCCACAGGAGACAACGACAAGTCACACAGAGGAACCTAAATGAACAGGCACCAGCTGGCTCACAGAACAAACAGGCCTGAGCGGTGACAATATCTGAGCAGATGTTGCAAGGAATGACTCCTGCATCATTAGTATGGCTGGCTCTCAAATATCAATTACTAAGCCAAAAGCCAGCTTGAGAAGAGAAATTTTGAAAAGACCGTGGACTCTTAAAAAAACAAAATAAAATGTGAGAGATGACAGCTATGGAATGAGTGATTTTTGACTAGATTCTGTTCCAAAATAAATACATAAATAAGTAAAACCAGCTATAAGAGAAATTATTGGCACATGTGTCCAGAATGGGATTATTAATTATATTGTGGCTATGTGGGAAAATGTCCTCTTTAGGAAATACAGGCCAAAATCTTGTTTGTTTTTTTATTTTAGAGAGGGAGAGAGAGATAGAAACATCCATGATGAGAGAGAATCATTGATTGGCTGCCTCCTGCATGCTCCCTACTGGGGATCAAGCCCACAACCTGGGCATGTCCCCTGACCAGGAAGTGAACTGTGACCTCCTGGTTCATAGGTTGATGCTCAAACACTGGGCCACGCCAGCTGTGCTGTTTCTCCTAATTCATAGAAACAAACGCAGAGAGACAGCTAAAATGAGGAGACAGAAAAATATGTTCCAAATGAAAGCCAGGAACTGAATGAAATGGAGACAAGCAATCTACCAGATAACGAGTTTGAAACACTGGCTATAAGGCTGCTCAATGAACTTGGGAAAAGACTAGATGAACTCAGTGAGAACTTCAACTGACAGGAAAAAACAAACAATCAGGGCCCTCCTGGGAGCATGTCCATGACTTTCTTTCCTAAACTCTAAGGGTGCCTAGCGACTTGCAACCAGGGGAGCAATGGGGACCAGCAGCTTGTCCCCTGAACCTGACTCAAAGGCCCCCTTTTCTCTGACTTTTCATTGAGCCAATAGCAGCCCTGCCTTGGCTCATTTCTTTCCCATAATGTTCCTAGAGAACAAAGCAGCCCCGCCTACGGTCTCTTGTTGCTTCTTCTATGGCTATGCTAATCCCTTCTTGCTTCTTCATGTCCCAGCGTTAATAAACATATTCTTAAAATCACACACACACACCAATTAGACCTAAAGAACACAGTAACTGAAATGAAAAAAAAACAAACAAACACTAAAGGGAATCAACAACAGATTAATTGATGCAGATGAATGAGCCAGCAAACTGAAATAAATGAAATAGAGACTAAAAAAATAATAGAAAAGATCAATAAAACTAAGAGCTGGTTCTCTGAACAGGTAAACAAAATAGATAAACCTTTAGCCAGATTCATCAAGAAAATAAGAGAAAGGGCCTAAATTAATTCAAAAAGGATAGAGAAGAGACAACCCACACCACAGAAATACAAAGGATTGTAGGAGGACAGTATGAGCAATGATACACCGACAAATGTGACAACCTAGAAGAAATGGATAAATTCCTAGAAACAGAATCTTCCAAGACTGAGTGTTGTTTCTAGTAATCAGTCTGTTCATATTTTCTGCTTCTTCCTGATTCAGTAATCAGAAAACTCCCAACTAATAAAATTCCAAGACTAGAAGGCTTCACGGGTGAATTCCACTAAGTGTTCAAAGAATTAATACCTATCCTTCAGATCTGAAGAGGGAAAGCTCCCAAACTCAATTGCCCTGACACCTGGAGCCCTGCCTGGCCCGCAGAGCCCTCACCTCGCCGGCACTGTGGAGCTGCTGGGCGATGCCCCGGAGGTCCTCCTCGCTGGCCAGGGGGTTCAGCTGGTCCTGCACGTCGTACACAAACTGCTGCAGTGACATCAGCTGGTTGGGCCCATTGAGCTTCCTCCAGGACGGCAGCGTGGAGATGATTTTCTCACACAGGTGAGTCATCGGAGGGCAGACCTAGAACATGCAGACACGACTGGTCAATTTACAGCTGTGGGGACTCAGCAGGAGACCGGGTTTTCATGCGGACTGTTGAAAGTTTTCAATTTAGACTAATTCTTGGTATTGGCTTGAAATGGGTTTTTAATCTTTTAACTTGATTAAATAAATCAGTCTGCTACAGACTCATCTACCCAACCACACCTTCCTAATTAAAAGCCAAAGCAGCCATCCCCTGCACCCTATCATTCATGAGGCTGGCCCCTGGTGGACAGTAGCTTTTAGGTCAGCTAAATTCCACTCCTTATTAAAAAACACACACAAAATGCCCAGGATACAGGCAAGTTTGATCTGCCTGACCTCAGGAGTGGAGGGTGTGTGAAGTGGACATTGTGCCACACCCCAAAAACACAGTCCCATTCCATTTGTTTATTATTTTATGTCCTTCAAACAAATGTTGAATTTTTTTCTACCTTTCTGCATTTTTAAAATATTTCACAAGTCGCTTTTTTGTATCATCAACTATATATAGAAAATCCTAATATGCAAATAGACCAAATGGCGGGACAACCAAACAACTGGTTACTATGACGTGTGCTGACCACCAGAGGGTGCGCGTGGGACATGGTGGGCATTGGCCACAAGGGGATGGTGGAGCAGGTGAGCGGGGGCGCCAGACCAGTGTGGGGCACTGGTTGCTGTCATTGGGGCGAGCCTCTGGTGGTTACTGAAAATTCTTTGCTCCCGCATGCTGTGGTCCTGCCTGGCGCTTGTACCCGCTATCAGGGCCTGGTGCTGGCCCCAATTGCTTGATGTTGTCAGTGGGTGTGAGTGGTGGCTGCTGGCCCTGATCACCCCTCAGGGCTTTTCCACCTCCCCCTGCTCCTGAGGGGCGATCGGGGGCAGCAGCTGCTGCTCGAACCTGCTGCCAGCACCTGGTGCCAGTCCTGATTGCTCGGT